AAACTACGGAAATCGGTTGCGTATACGAAGAAAGATTATGCCAAATTAAAGTGTCGAATAAAGATAGAATAATTTTCTTATTTCTAAATTCTTATAACTTTTACGTACATAGGACGCTGAAGGTAAATGACAGAAGGCCCAAAAGTCCTCCGCAGGAGCTAGCCTAAAGTCCGCCCGAATGGCGGCTTCGAGGCTACTTTATAATAATTTAATATCTAACTATTCTCACCCATGGAATAGCCGTTAGAATAGTACAATAAACCGGAAATAAAGGATCATGTTACCCAGAATGCAGCAATGCCTAACATATATAAGTAGGTGAGCTACTACGCAACGCACGTAGCCTGAAGATTGCGTAAAAGCTTGAAACAACATCAGCGTCCTCAATCTCTTTTATATATATATATATATATATATATATATATACACACACACACACACATATATATATATGTATATATATATAAAAGTGAAGAGACAGACTGTTTCATGCTAAACGCAATCGTCAGGCCTGATGATTGCATCTAGCATGAAACAGACTGTCGCCCCTAAGTGTTGACTTCAATGTTCACTTTTATATTTACTCATGCTCTATCTCTGACATTGAGCACTTTATCCCATAAATATAGCACATTTTAAGACTATATATATATATATATATATATATATATATATATATATATATATATATATATATATATATATATATATATGAAAATGGATTAATCTGACGTAATTTTAATTTATTTAAAATGTTATTTAGTGATGATAATGCCTTTGAATAAATGCATATTGCAAGAATCGGCAGAGAGTGTGTATTCCAAAAACACTATTCGTGTTTCGCTTACCGTAAGATCTACGTGACCGAGTGGTTAGTCACGTCAGATCCAATGACAGTTCTCTATAGGGGATGCGGCTTCGAATCCTGCCGGAGGACGCATATTTTTCTGATTTCTCGAATATTCAGGTCCATAGATGTAGTTGGATAAAAAATACTGTTTAATTCAAAAACAGCTGCTACTTGAATATGAGTATCCATAAAAAAGTAACATTTAAACAAATTAAATTAAATATATAATGTCCGTTTTAATGTAGTTTATCTAGAATGTGGGTTTTTACACCCTTTGAATTTATGTGACCAATAATTTGTCCTCTCTAGAAAATAAGGGTAAAAAGAGCATTGACGCGACATGGCGAGAGAAAACAAGACAATACCAAACTTGAGTGGAAAAAAGAAAGGATTTATATCAGAAAGAGGAAGAAAAAAAAGGGAAGATAGAAAAATTGGGTTTAAAAATCGTTGCAAAAAACAAAAGCAAAAAAAAAAACTGGTTTTTGCGAAGACTTAACTGGTGGTAATAAAGTTCGTTCGGTTAACAGTTCTTCTCATTTTTGTTGCAATGTCGGAATATATTCGTCTTGAAAGTTGAAGAGGGATTCAGTTTTCGGATGCTTTGCTGCAACTGTTGGGACATCCTCGTTCCTATGTTGTATTCTTGGCCGCTCCATTTTCGGACACCATGTGGCTGCTGGTTGAGTTTTTACGGAGCTAAATCTGTCCGTGTTGACTCGTCGGCGTGCCCAGGAAAAAAGAGACCGTGATATGTTGCGTTCAGCCCAACTCAGTGGTCAGTGATAACGCCCCCTACAAAGGGAGACAATTCATTTATCTATATAATATTTTCAATACTAGATAGATAGATTGATAGTCAAGTATTTTCACAAAACTTAAACATAATATTTGCTTAAATATTATTTCTCATCTATGTGTTCATATATATGTACATATACATAGTTCTGCATAATATTATTATATGTGTGTATGTGTGTGTTAGTGTGGTGTGTGTGAGTGTATGTGTCTTTAAAAAGCTTGTATGGTATATCATTTTAGGAAAAAAGTATGAAAAATTGGAGAAAAAGTTTTGTGAAATCTTTACAGAGGAAACGCGTCGCAAAAACTTTTTTTTCCAATTTGTCAAACTATTTTTCTAAAAAGCCTTTATATAAAATCGTCGCTATGTGCCGTGTCCTTTCAGGACGTAGGCGATCATGGCCCTCCACTTCCCGCATCCCTTGTGGCTCTCAACAGGTTGTGTGTTTCTGCCAACTCCCCCCAGACCATACTCCGCCATCAAGCCCGCCACGTATGCCATGCAGTGCTTTCCCCTGTCTCTTCCCCCCCCCCTCTATTCGTCCCGTGAGTATCAGATTCTCCGGGGTCTCCTTTCTCATCACGTGTCCCAAAAATTTCATCTGCTTCGTCGTTATGTTAAGCATCCTCCTTGTTTGCATCCTCTCCAAGACCTCATCGTTGCTCAAAGGCTCAGTCCATGATATCCTCAGCATCCTTCTGTAGAACCACATCTCCGCCGCCTCGAGTCTCTTCTTCCTCCTTGAGGATACTGTCTAACATTCGCTGTCGTATAGGAGGTCAGATGTCACGTAGCAGCTCAGTACTCTTTTCTTTATCCCCATAGAAATCCTCCTGTTTCGCAGTACTCTGACCAGCTTCTGGTCATCCCAAATCCATTTTCGGATCTCAGCGTCGCAAATACCTTCAGAACACTTCCCAGATACTTAAACTTCCGCACATGTTTGATTTTATTATCCCCGACCTGCAAATTGCATTCTGGGTTCATCCTTTTACTGATGACTATGCATTCTGTCGTCTTGTAGTTTATAGTTAGTCCTTTCTTCTCGCTCTCCCTCGCTACTTTCTGTAGGAGGTTTTGTAGTTTCTTTTCCGTGTCTGCTATCAGTACCGTGTCATCTTCGTATCTTATGTTGGTAAGATTGTGGCTGCCAAAGATGAATCCTGGTAGGATCTCCAGTTCCCTCAGAATTGCCTCGCTGTCTAAGTTGAATAAGTCCTTACGCCTCTTTCTATTTTTGTATATTCGCTGAACTCATTCTCAATACGCATGCAGGCCATTTGCTGTCAGCATAGGTTCTTGATTATTCTGATATCTTTCCCGAATATATCAAGGTTACTGAGCAGTTCTAGCAGGTCCTTGTGGCTTACTTTGTCGAACGCCTTTGCGTAGTCTAGAAAACATGGATACACGTCCTTCTGCATCTGTATTGCTCTTTCCGATAACATTCTAAGCATGTGAGTGTATAGCATCTAGAAATGCCAGACAAGATCCCCACTTTCTCAGTCTGAGCATTTTCCTTTTATCCATTTAACTCTCTTTCGTTCTCTCTCTCTTTCTCTCTCTCTCTCTCTCTTTTTCTCTCTCTCTTTTTCTTCTTTCCCTTTGTACTCTTCATTTCTTCTTCTCTTTTTTTCGGCTATTCACATAAAATATGTGTGCAAAAAAAAACAACAAAAAAAAACAAAAAACAAATACAATAGTGAATAAAAACACTAACAATGCATATATTCTTTGATCCACTTTAAATTAAGTACTGTAATTATACGCCATTTTGGCCCAGGTGTTTAAGGTTAAAAGTCGTGTTTTTATAATATTCACTCAATACAAGTCCCAAGAGCCACTCAAAGTAGAGGGTTAATGTAATGTGTTGTATGAGCGTAATACAAGGCAACAAGTGAAGCTCATGGGACAGTGCACAAAAAATAACGGTTAATCCTAGACTTGAAGGTATCAAGATTGAATTGATCGTGAGAACGTCCTGGCGGGAGTCTGTTCAACAAAGCAGCAGGTTTTGGGAAGAAGCTGTCCGAATGGAACATACATCTTACTGTTGGAATACAAAAAAGAAATGATAATGATTAATCCTAGACTTGAAAAGGTCAAGATTGTAGTGACTGGGAAAACATCCTGGCAGGAATCTATTATGTCATCCCTGCTATATTCACGAGAGACATGGGTAGTCTATCACAGACATCTGAAGATATTGGAACGTTCCCATCAACGATGCCTTCGGTCTGTGCTCGAAATGCATTGGATGTCTCACACTCCTGATACTGTTGTTCTACAAAGAACCAATTCACTCTATGTGGAAGCAATTATAAGCAAATACAAATTGCGATAGGCGGGCCATTCGTATGGCAGATGACAGAATTCCAAAACAATTAATGGAGAATTGGAAATGGGGAAAAGATCACAGCATAAGGCAAAACTCCGTTACAAAGATTGCCTTAAAGAATCACTGTACAAGTGCAATATTGGTTTGAATAACTGGGAGACTTTAGCTGAAGACAAGGTTTCTTGGAGAGCTGGTATTGCTGTTGGTGTCAAGATCTTCCATGAGGCATCATAAAAATATGCAAAACTGAAGAGAGGGGTTCAGAAGGCATCCCTGAATTGCCATCAGGTGCCAACCTGGCCTTGTGCTCAATGCAATCAGATATGTCTGTCCAGGTCAGGTCTGATCAGTCACCAGAAATCACACCAATACCAACAGTCTATTGGATTTCGTAATGGCATGCTTTGAATGCCCAACCTGCACTAGTGTGTGCAAGTCCAGGTTGGTTTTGACAAGGCATATAAAAAGACGCATTAGAAGTAATGATGTTCAGTCAACTTCCACTAGCCAGAGATGATTTGACATACCATATATGTAACAAGAAATGCAAATCGATGGCTGGCTTTATGAGCCACTGTCGTTCACACAACAAATGAATGCAGTGTTGTGGGGGGAACTTAACTGACGTACTGGACACGTCATAGTCGCTCTGTGAGTCGACAGCTAATATATGTATATAAACAAAGAGTGTTCAATGAAGACTTTGGCATATTCACTTTTTAATTCGATACAAATGAAATGTTCATATAAAAGTTAATTGTACATTTTACATGCAAAATAGATTGAATATTACTTAGCCTTTTATAGGCTTCCGTTAGTCTAAAAAATCCTATTGTAATCCGAAATCGATCACAGATAACTTCCAATGGTCAGCGCCAATCACTTTTCGAGGTCAGCGTTAATCATTTTTCATCCTTCAGCCCAAGCCAATCCCACATCTCAATTTACAATCAAGAATGTAATTGTTTGGTTGTAATGTATATCACAATTGCCACCAGTGAATTCTACCTATAATGACTTCCGATGAACTCGAGCGTACAATTTGTCGTTATCCACCATACCACTTGTTAGCTTATAGTCAGTATTTCAGTCATTTTTTCTAGAAATTGTTTAAATTGGCTGGAAAATTTTCATATTTATTGAAACTGTATGCTATGAAATCGCAGGCTATAGGCTTTTATGAAATTGAATCATACGCCTTTTGATTACGGCTCGTCAGAAAATTGCATGCTATGCGCTTTGATGAAATTTCTTTACATGCAATTTTAACGAAATTGTAGGCTACACACTATGATAAGATTTCATGCTATGAAATTGCATGCATTTTTGGAGAAATTGCATTCTATGAAATTGCATATAATTTCAATGCATGCAATACTTGTTGATATAATTATTGAATGAAATTTTGATGACATTGCATGCTATGTAATTCCATCTATGATGAAATTGCATGCTATATATTGGTTGCTATGAAATTTTATGCTATGAAATTACATGCTATACCCTTTGATGAAATTACATGCTATGGAATTGCATGCTATACACTTTGATGAAATTACGTGCTATGAAATTGCATGCTATACCCTTTGATGAAATTACATGCTATGGAATTGCATGCAATTTAAATGCATGCTATACTCGTTGATGAATTTACAGGCTAACAAATTCAATGAAATTTTGATGAAATTGATTGCTATAGAATTTCATTGCTGATGAAATTATATGCTATAATTTGCATGCTATGAAATTGCATACCATGATCTTTAACGAAATTGAAATTTATGCCTTTTTGGTCCCCAGATCTCTTGAAAAGTCATAGTCACAACTTAATGTCATCTACCAAAATAGCATACACAATAACTCAGTCCATTGAGTTAGAAATCTCATGTTCTCTTTGATGATCTTCGAAATCAACGTTTAATCTATTATTATTAGTTTTTACCTTCCAAAATATATCTCTAAGACTTATTGTAATATGGAACCACACACACACACACACACATATGTTTGGTTATATTAATATAGATTCCTGTTTTGTGAGTTTGTGTCAGCGTGTAAAATATGCCTTTTCGTTGGCCTCAATCCATAAAGGAAGATTAAAAAAAAAAAAACAACTTAAAATGAATTCTCATTTTCAGCCATTTTTACGCTATGACTCATGCCAAATAAAAAGCCTAATTTCTCGCTAAACTTCCTCTGAGGTCTGGAATTTGAAACTGTCTTTTAACTTCTTTCCGACCTCTCATTCATCATCGAGCTCTGAAACCTCAAAGTATCCCCGACAACTTACGACAGGCTCCCATCAAGAAGCCCGTCTCATTACACGGACAGTAATTCTACACGAATACCGACGACAACATCTGAACGTATCCGTGTGTATAGCAGAGTGTTATAATCACACTCTTCTAACCGAGTTTTCTCACTGATTCAATGTAATCTTACCTTCAGCTCAGAAATGTCCCGTCGGATTTTTGTTTGCAAAAACGTCACGTTGGGAGTATCAAATCGCCAGCGATAATGACGTAAGTGATGACGTGGACAAGTCAATCGTACAGAGTCGGTTATCGCTTGGCGGCCATTTTGACAGAATCAGATGCGGAATGAGTTTGCGGCGGACAAAGATATTTATCAAAAAAATGACATGAAGAAAGAAAGGAAGAAGAAAAGAAGTGAAAAGAGAGAGAAAGACAGAGAGAGAGAGAGAGGGGGGAGAGAGGGAAGAGAAAACAGTTTTAGAGAGTTTAGTGGAGAAATTAGTTTCAATTTTAAGGGCATATTCATTGTTTATATAAATGATGGCGGTGCTGAAAACTCAACTCGAACCACTTTACAAAATCCGACCAAATATCAGACCATTGAAATATCTTCTTGGTCCGATATATATATATATATATATATATATATATATATATATATATATATATATATATATATATATATATAAAATATATGGATATAGATCCGACAGTATGAAGAAAAATATACAGAACACGTCTTTTCGTGTTGAATTTTATATGTTCTAATGTTAAATATGTTTAAATGAAAATGTCCTGAAGATGGTCTAAAATAGACCGAAACGTCTGACGTGGACTTTATATTAACATTAATACAGCATAATTGCATATTAAGATTTTTGTTTGTTTTTCTGTATATTTTTCTTCACATATATATATATATATATATATATATATATATATATATATATATATATATATATATATATATATATATATATATATATATATATATATATATATATATAAATATAAGTTTTGCGTTGTGGTCGAATAGTTAATGCATAATCTACTAAAAGTTTGTTTCTTTGAATATAGTGAGTTCAGGTTCCATCCTTGGTGAAAGGGGTTATTTTTCTTTAATAAGACTTTCTATTATCTAATCCGGTGGACATTAACTTCTCTGTTCTAAAAAGTAAATTAACGGATTTTTATCCAACATTATTTTTAGTTGATATACTTGGTTGAGCAGAAAGTCCTGACTCACTTTGGAACCGCATAAGAAATCAACAATTCTTGATCTCTGTCTGGTGGAATTTCCAAGGAGGACTGCATTTCGAGCTCCTTCCACACAGTCGCACAATCAACGCTAAATTATATTGCCGGCAGCCAGACCGCGTGTGCAACAAACTAAAGAAGGAGTATCCTGCTTTGGTCAATCGAGGCCGGCCTTTGTTTCAGCATGACAATGTGAGGCCAGGTAGATAAAGAAGTTAAAAAATATGGACGTTGAGATTCTTCCACATCCACCGTTCAGTCCCGATGCTGATCCGAGTGACACTTCCTCCCCGATTGTTTAAGTTTATGTAGGTAAATTAGGCTTGGAACTTGATATGCTTTCTCCCAGAAATTGTAACTTCAGTCTACTCAGCATAGTGTGGGTGTTAAAGAAACATAAATGAACCTGGGTGGGTGTCTGCAACAGGAATTAGCTAACCACTTCAGAGTCAGTCAGTTATGTGTCATGCGTGATACACACTTATGTGATCATGTATATTTCGAGGCAGATTTTTCCCACTGAAAGTTACCATTTCTTTCTGCGGTAGACCAGTTGCCATCAAAGGCTATAGAACCTGGTCTGTCCTGCTATTTACCCATCGCCAAAGGGAGAAGAAGAGGATTCATACGTTTCCCAAGGGTATTAGCACATAAGTGAATGTAATGGATTCGACTGGAATTAAATATGGCACGTGGAACTAGAACAGTCACCCCAGTGAGCGAAATAAAGTTCGACATTACAACCACCTGAAGAAGGCCGGAGTGTACAACGGCCGAAATGTAATAAATATGGCGACAAAGATGAG